GGAGCACATGCTTCAGACAAGCTGAGAGGGGATAATGCAACACTGCAGAACTATTTATCTGCAAGATGTTTGGTACAGATGGGAGATACAGTCATTGGAGTCTCTCCAGTTATTACCTACTTGGCTCATGGTAGTTTTTTGGGGATGGGAAGCAGTCGTCCATTATTCACAAAGCAGGAAGAGTGATCTTGTGTGTACTTTACTCCCAGAGAACATCACACAATCCCTTTTCATTCTGCACAGAAGGAGGGTATTTACAGATGTTTCCTGATAAATTTATATTTATCAACATGTTCTGAGCAGCAGACATCTAAGTATAAGAATTTCCAGGGCTGGAAGGGGATTTGCAGTGGTAGTGTAAGGGAGGGTCAGCAGTGTGGGGCTTTCAGCTCTGCAGGGTTATTGTCCTGCACAGCACAAATAAAACCAGCTCACAGTCAAATCTATTTAAAAACAAGTAAAGAAGTGAAGTTGCTTTTGGTTGTACTTTTTTTTTTCTTTTTCCCGTTGAAGCTTCCTCTTTCTCTTCACCAGCTCAGCACTGCTGGCAGCTTTTTATAAACCACGATTCCTACTGCTGTCAGCTTGTTTGGGAACTCCTGTTAAGTTCAGCTGCTAATGTGGAGAGGATCTACCTTAAATTTTTTGCTCAGAATCTTCTCACTATTGCATTGCATCAGCAACGGGGTCTCAAAGTACTCTGCATATAGCAAAATGGCCACATATATTTACATTCAGTGTTCAGAAGTGTTCTGAAGACAGACACCTCTGACAGAGAAGCACGGTCTTGTACTGAATATGCACCATTAAGCACAGTCATAAACTGACTCAGGAGAAGAGATGCATCCTCACAGATGGTGAATGTGTCAACAAATCTACTAAAGAACCTGCACAATGCACATGGGAATGATTGTGCCTGGTAGACTGAATCATGTTTGGCAGATTAGCAGAGAAGTTACTCTGGGTTGAAAGAGACACTCAGTAATCAGCACTGAGTAAGTGCAATGATATCCTGTCTAAATCATTCACTGTGAAGGAAAGAGCAATGCTGAGATGCGAATATCTGGAATGGATGAACAGAAACAGCAGTGACTAGGAACATCTAGCATGTGTTGCACTCAGGAGCAATGGCCAAGAGTGGAGAAGGAGCAATAATTGGGAGAGAGAGATAGCTAGGTGGGAGAAACACCGAAGAGTCCTCTGCCTAGTAGCGGAGCTAGGAACTACTGGAATAGGTGCGTGTGCAAGAGAAATGCTGAGAGGGCCTTCACCCTGTGAGGAGCTGGTATGGCGGGATGGACAGCAGCAACGCTGGTGAAGTCTTTGCTGTGTTCGCTGAAACCCACACAAAAGGCCAGCTCTACCAAAAAGTAGCTTGTGTACTGACATGGGGGCAATTACAGGCAAAGATTTCCCCTGTACATGTCTGCCACATAGGAAGAACAGACATGTTATAGTTTGCTGAGGGCAGAAGAGATCCCTAGAATCAGAGTTGATGGGACGGAGGGGTTGTATAAAGGCTCTGGCTGGAGGCTGATGGTTATGATTAAGGAGTCTCAGAGCTAGTCTACACACGTAACTTGCATGAATTTAACTACGACTAGTTTGTAAATTGGTTGAAATAAGCCAAAAATATTTAACCCAACTGTAATCTGATTTAAATTTATCCACACAAAGCTTTTGACTATTTTAACTACACTGATTTAAAAACCAATTTTAGTTAAACCAGTACAAGTTTTGTGTACAGGTAAGGTCCAGGACTGAATGGACAACGAAACTGTATACCCCAGCTAAGCCAAAATGGAAAAGACATAATACAGTGGCTGACAAGAGATGCAGCTAATTTAGCAGAGAAGTGACTTTTACCTCATATCTATAGCTGCCACCACATTCCACATAGTTGCAGCAAACTCAGGGTATTGCAAATACAGCAATGACTGTCCAAAATCTTATAGAACGAAACTAATGTGAAGTTTTATCTCCCTAGCTAGTAGGAATTTTGTACATTTGAGACAGACCCAGCAAAGTTATAAATACCCAGCCTCAGTTCTAGTTTGGTGTCTGCTCCTCAGTCTCCTGCCATCTCCTGCTCTGAAAAGAACCATTTCCCTTTTCTTAGTAACCACAGAAATCATTCAGGGAATTTCCAGAGCATAGTTTGCAAAGTCTGATTCACTGTAACCCCCAAAATATTTAACTCCTTCTGGGAATTACTGTAAATTAATCCAGTTCCACACGTTAAGTTACCTCAAGTTCCCCTTTCCATCTTTTCTTGTCAACCACATAAACATGCTCAACATCCTAAGTCACACACACACACCCATCCACCCCCACACACTCAGAGGAATGCAGTCTTCATTCAGTTTTGGGTTTTCAACACGGTTAAACTTACGTGCTTTAGATCTGATGTGTGGTGGAGTTTCTGACCTCCTGCACTGAGGAGACTTCAGCCTCAACAGACACATACAGATATCATGACCTATTTCTGGAGGGCTCTTTCTGCATATCTCACTGCCAACATAAATATAACATGATCAAAACTAAACTTGATTTTTCCTTCTCCTCTCCCTGCTGTCTTTGTTACTGCTCACAGTACCACCACTCTCCTTGAAACTTGGATATAGTCTTTGACTCCTCTCTCTCCAGAACATATATTCAGGCGTTGTGCAAATCATGCAGCTTTTTCCTTTACAATGTTTTAAAGATCCAGTATTTTCTCTTTGCCAATATTACTAAAACACTCATCCATCACTCATCTTGACTACCAACCACCACCCCTCTGGCCTTCCTTCTCTCATACCCCACCAGAGGTGCATTCAAAATGCTGTTGCTTTATCATCTTCCTGATTTGTCATTCTGACCACATCACTCCTCCCCCCCATTTGATTCCTTGTAGTCTGCTGTATCAAATATAAACTTTGGGCCTTTTCTTTAAGGCCTTTCAAAAGTTAGACCCTCCCAATACTTTGTTCATATAATTTGCTTTATTACTTCTCACTCCATACTCCAATCTCTAGCTGTTGAGTTTAGTTTGAAGAATCACTGACTTATAACAGGGTAGAACATTTGTGGTAAAATAAATTGGAGTTCACGAAAGACCTTATGGTAGGATAACCATATTTTCTTACACTGAATATGGGACACCTGATAAAATTACTTGTATTCAAGTGAGTTCAAGAATACTCAATCAGAAATATGCAGTACAAAGTTTCAAATTGGCGTCAACTTGATTAAGCCACTGTTAAAAAATATTGCTTAGTTGGATTCTTTTTATTTATATCCTTATCTTTTAAGCATCTGAGTTCACATAGGAAGAGGTCTCTCTCTCTCTCTCACACACACACACCCGCCCACCCACCCCGTACATCTCTCTCTCTCCCTTCCTGCCCAGTACTTTCTGCTCTCCATGCTTGGATGGAGCTCCAGGATGGACTTGCCTTGCTTGGTACTTGGCACCAGATCTTCCTGAAGCAACATATAAGAGGCACACAAAGTCACACCCTCCTCTCCTTCCACCCCCAGTCTGATTTCTGCTAAGGTTCACATCAGAATGTGGCCAGCAGCAGCCTTTTCAGCACTGTGTGGGACAGAAGGGACGGGAGCTACTTCTAGTTGCAGGAGAAGAGTGGGAGGGGAAGAGATGACCTGATTCATGTCTTTGCAGAACTCATCTCTTCTCCCCACCCTCACCCATGTAGCTGGAAGCAGCTTGTTCCATCCTGCCCACACAGTGTTGAAAGGCAGCTAACACCTCCAGTCTGCTGCTGGCCACAGACATAACCCATCCACCTCCTATCTACTGGCTACAGCATGGGCAGGAAGGGGTTAAGCCCTAAGGATGCATTGTGCACCAGGGCTCAGGGAACCTGACTGCAGGCGCTTTAGCAAACCCAGACATAAAGGTGATTCAGCAGAGGAAGGTGTTTAGGGGATGGAGTAGATCCATGCTTCCTGGGGGCAGAGGGCAAGTGAAGAGGGTACTAAGCCTCTGCCCCCGGGGATTGCAGTAGAAACTGCAGGGTCAGCGTGCAAACAGACTTGAAATCACTCCCCCCACCCCCGTTGCTCCGGCACTTAGCTGAGGGATAGAGAAGCTGTCCTGCAATCAGCACAGCATGGGGCTTTGGCTCCTCTTGGCCAGTGCCCCAGACCAGAGGGTCTTGGGCTTTCCTGGGTGCTAGCTAAGCCAAAGGCAGTGGAGGGAGGAAGGAGCCTGCTTAGCCAGGCTGTTGGTGAGCTATCAACAAGGGGCCGATTCTCTGCACAACTCTGGGAGCAGGATGCAGCCTTTTACTGGGGGGAGGCAATGGCATATGTGGGGGTGAAGGAGCAAAACAGGAAGAGGACAACAAGATGGGGAGCAAGTAAAGGCCAATAGGTAGGCAGCAGAAATGACATGTAATTGTCTGTTGCCTGGCACCTGCTTACACTCATTAGCCACTGAAGCTCACAGTGCACAGCTAGTGATGTTTGGAAATGGGACGAGGGGGGAGCGGACGGGTCGCTTTTGGTTGAGAGCTGGCATGGAGTGAGGACTGCAATGATGGACTTGCAGGTGCGCGTGGCCTTTCCTGCACTACATCTTCCACCATCAGGCTTGCACTTCCATGCCCATTGTTGGTTCACAAAGGGAGAGGTGCTGCTCGCACACAGGACCCTTCTTCTACTCACTACTGGTGAGTGGTGGCTGGCAAACAGGGATTCGGCAGGCAAAAGGACCCATCAGTCCTGATGAGGGGAGGATAAAGAAAATATGGGACATGTGCAGTTTTTTAAGAAAAAGTCTGGACAGTTGCAGGAGGACTTAAATACTGCAAACCTCACTGGGCTTCTGTAACCTGCAGGCACTTCAGGAGCCAGCCGGTGCTTTGCTGCAGTCACTGGAGAGCTCCCACCCAGAGAAGCCCCAGTGCCTGCTGACCTGCACTTGTAAACAGGGGAAGAACATTGACTAAAACAGCAGCAAAATGTCTGGGCTGGTTTCATTTCTGAGCTGCACGGCACTGCCTTTGAGCAAGCGCAATGCCCTCTGATGGCTTCACCAACTAAGCAGTGGTGTGAGAGGAAAAGCTTGTTCATAATCGGTGCTGCTTGGCTAAAACCTAAGCTCTACTTTTAAGTGCGAGCAACAGGCTGGTATCAGGGCAACTCGAAGAGCTCACTTCAAGACAATTATTAAACTGACCCAATCGTCCCACTAGGCAGGGGCAGGAGCCAGGGTGGCCTAATGGATAAGGCATCAGCCTCTGAAGCCAGGAATTGTGGGTTCAAGTCCCACCTGTGTCCCCCTCCTTGCCACAGAGGCTGGAGCACCAGCACCATCTTTCTGCTGGTGGGGAGAGAAAGCCCCCAGTGGAATGACAAAGCAAGCACAGACACACTGTATGGAGGCTTTCCCCACTGCTCCCATTGGCCAAATGGGATGGCTCCCCCATGCCCAGACCCCCATCACCCCCCCCCCCAAAAC